AACATAGATAAATACTAAAAACATGCTAAGGCTAGGTGTGGTAGCTTATGCCTATAATCCCAGCACTTTGGTAGGCTGAAGCAGGCAGATCAACTGAATATAGTTCAAGACCAGCCTAGGCAACATAGGAAACCCCATCTGTACAAAAGATACAAAAATTAGCTGGGCGGTGGCCTGCGCCTGTAGACCCAGTTACACAGGTGGCTTATAAACACCATCCTAGTCATGACCAAATAGTATTTTCATCTGACCATTTGAAAAACAGAATTTGTTCATATCACGTCAGGGTCACCAAAAAAAAACCAAACAAACAAACAAAACGGAAAAAAGAAAAAAAACCCACAATGTATTCAAAATCTTATTTGAAATACTATTTCAACAAGTGGTTAAATGTGTTAGGCACTGAATGGATGAAAGGAAAGATGAAAAGCAGACAGGCTATCACAGCCTATCACATCCACCTTACAGAGCTGCTAGAAGGATCAAATAAAATGATGTAGAAGTGTTTTGTTGTTGTTGTTGTTGTTGTTTTTTTGGGATGGAATCTCGCTCTGTCACCCAGGCTGGAGTTCAGTGGCGTGATCTCAGCTTACTGCAACCTCTGCCTCCTAGGTTCAAGAGATTCTCCTGCCTCAGCCTCCCAAGCAGCTGGGTCTACAGGCATGTGCCACCACACCCAGTTAATTTTTGTAGTTTTAGTAGAGTAGGGGTTTCACTATATTGACCAGGCTGGTGTTGAACTCCTGATCTCAGGTGATCCACCCGCTTTGGCCTCCCAAAGTGCTGGGATTACAGGCATGAGCCACTGTGCCCGGCCAAAGTGTGTCATAAATAATAAAGAACTATATAAATATGTTTTAAGTTACATATCACAAAAATTGAAGCTAAAAATACAATTTAATTAATTTATTTTTTTTTTGAGACGGAGTCTCACTCTGTCGCCCAGGCTGGAGTGCAGTGGCGCGATCTCGGCTCACTGCAACCTCCGCCCCCCAGGTTCACGCCATTCTCCTGCCTCAGCCTCCTGAGTAGCTGGGACTACAGGCGCCCGCCACTGCGCCCGGCTAATTTTTTGTATTTTTAGTAGAGATGGGGTTTCACTGTGTTAGCCAGGATGGTCTCGATCTCCTGACCTTGTGATCCGCCCATCTCGGCCTCCCAAAGTGCTGGGATTACAGGCGTGAGCCACCGCGCCTGGCCACAATTTATTTTTTCTAAGAAAAAATACTTCTGAGCTGATTTGCCAAACTAACCACAAGATGAAAACTGGATGCAATCATTGGTTTGCCAGAAAGTTGAGACTTTAACCAATTTACTGGTGTAGCATTAGATGGCAAGCCTATATAAAGTGTGGGACATAAGTGTACTATCATATCCTCAGTTAAAACCAAGTAACAAAAAATTCTAAGGGGCCTGGGCACGGTGGCTTAAACCTGTAATCCCAGCACTTTGGGAGGCCAACGCGGGCGGATCATGTGAGATCAGGAGTTCGAGAACAGCCTGGACAATATGGTGAAACCCCGTCTCTACTAAAAATACAAAAATTAGCCAGGCGTGGTGGCGTGTGCCTGTAGTTCCAGCTACTCAGGATGCTGAGGCAGGAGAATCACCTGAACCCAGGAGGCGGAGGTGTCAGTGAGCCAAGATGGTGCCACTGCACTCCAGGCCAGGTGACACAGCAAAAAGAGCGCAAGTCCATCTCAAAAAAACAAAAAAAATAGCTGGGCATGGTTGTGCATGTCTGTAGTCCCAGGAACTCAGGAGGCTGCATGAGAATCACGTGAACCCCGGAGGTGGAGGTTGCAGTGAGCTGAGATTGCACCACTGCACTCCAGCCTGGGCAACAGAGCAAGACTGTCTCAAAATAAATAAATAAATACATAAAATACAGTACAGTGTTATGATACTTTATAAAAAGACATTCTGGAGGCCAGGCCAAATGGCTCACATCTGTAATCCCAGCACTCTGGAAGGTTGAGGCAGGAGGATTACTTGAGCCCAAGAGTTTGAGACCAGCCCAGGCAATATCGTGAGACCCTGTCTCTACAAAATAATAAATTAATTAGCTGGGCGTGGTGGCGCATGCCTGTACTTTCCAGTCTGAAGTGGAAAGATTATCACTTGAGACTGGGAGGTCAAGGCTACAGTGAGCAGTGATCGTGCCACGCACTGCAGTCTGGGTGACAAAGACTCTGTCTCAAAAAAAAAAAAAAGAGATCCTACATTATTTTATTTCATCTGATGCTTGGTAACACTGATATTTATCACTTATAACGCCCTCATACTCCTGATTTTATGATTTCAGAAGACAGAATATAAAGTGATGGGTATTTGTTAAAATGATGGCATCAATTATAATAAATTATATGCTTTGAGGCCCACAAAAGAGAGTCACAATTAGTCATTCTATGTCAGAGAAGTGATTTGAAGTTAGTCTTGATTTATAGCCTCTGTATTGGCATAATTGTTAGCAGTGCCTGCTTTCACTCTCAAGTCCTGGTAGATGATGGCTATTCTATATAATCAATTGCAGAAAAGAATTACACTGACGTAATTTTATAAATTTACTGTTTAATCTGGGATAGGAAATAACACCTATCACTAAAATTTGGAAAATATTGCTGCTACAGTATTTAATATTCAATTATTCAAATAATTTTGCAGTCATAAAAAAGAACAAGATCATGTCTTTTGCAGGAACATGGATGGAACTAGAGGCTATTAGCAAACTAATGCAAGAACAGAAAACCAAATACCGCATGTCTCACCCACAAGTGGGAGCTAAATGATGAGAACTTATGAAAGCAAAAGAAAAAACAGGCCAGGCACGGTGGGTCATGCCTGTAATCCCAGCACTTTGGGAGGCCAAGGTGGGTGGATCACGAGGTCAGGAGTTCAAGACCAGCCTGGACAACATGATGAAACCCCCTCTCTACTAAAAATACAAAAAATTAGCTGGGTGTGGTGGCGTGTGCCTGTAATCCCAGCAACTCTGGAGGCTGAGGTGGGATAATCGCTTGAACCCGGTAAGTGGAGGTTGTAGTGAACCAAGATCCTGCCACTGCACTGCAACCTGGGTGATAGAGCAAGATTCCATTTCAAAAATAAAAATTAAAAAAAAAAAAAAAAAACAGACACACACTGGGGTCTACTAGCTAAGGGTGGAAGGTGGGAGGAAGGAGAGAAGCAGAAAAGGTAACTATTGGGTACTGAGTTTAATTCCTGGGTGATGAAATAATCTGTACAATAAACCCCTGTGACATGAGTTTATCTATGTAACAAACCTTCACATGTACCCCTGAACCTAAAACAAAAGTTTAAAAATAAATATATAAATATGGTTGGGCACGCAGGCTTGCACCTGTAATTCCAGCACTTTGGGAGGCAGAGGTGGGCGGGTCACTTGAGCCCCAGGAGTTCAAGACCACCCTAGCCAACACAGAGAAACCTGTCTCTACTAAAAATACAAACTATTAGCTTGGCATGGTGGTGCATGCCTGTAATCCTAGCTACTTGGGAGGTTGAGGCACAAGAATCACTTGAATCCTGGAGGTGGAGGTTGCGGTGAGCCAAGATTGTGCCTCTGCACTGCAGCCTCGGTGACAGAGCGAGATGCTGTCTCAAAAGAGACAAAAAATTAATTAACTAATTAATTAATTTTTTTCCCCCACAGGGAACCAAAGTAAATTTTGTAAGTTGAAAAGTACGAAGAGCCAGGTGCCAAAATATTTTTAGGTGATTTTGAAACCATCAATAATTGAAATCTTTAACTTATTTAAGCAAAGTTAAGATTATTCAAAGAAAAATCTCAACGTAACAACTAGAATTCTAGAGTGGATCATACCGTGTTTCAAAATATAGAAATAAGGCCAGGTGTGGTGGCTCACATCTGCAGTCCCAGCACTTTGGGAGGACAAGGCAAGAGGATCGCTTGAGCCCAGGAGTTTGAGACCAGCCTGGGCAACCTTGTTTCTACAAAAAAATTCAAAAATTAGCAGGGCATGGTAGTGCCTACCTGTAGTTCCAGCTACTCAGGAGGCTGAAGTGAGAGGATTGCTTGAGCCCAGGTCAAGGTTGCAGTGAGCTGTGATCATGCCACTGCACTCTAGCCTGGGAGTGAGACCTTGTCTCAAAACAAAACAAAACAAAAAACGTAGCAGTAAATGATTGTGAGCTTATCAACCTATTCTGGAAGATATATGTTCCAAACAATCTCTAGAGAGAGATAACAGCTCCAAAGTCCTCCCTTTAACATTATAAAACATCATTAAATGCTAAACAAATGGCTTAGATTTTAGGATTGAGGTCACTAAAATCAGTGTGGTCACCTAAAATTTGTATCTTACCTAATAAAACTGAACAGAATGATATGCTGACTCATGGTGCTGCAGGTCATTTTAAAGAATTATCAAACTTACATTTAAAAAGAACATGGCTGGGCACAGTGGCTCACGCCTGTAATCCCAGCACTTTGGGAGGCAGGGGCAGGCAGATCACCTGAGGTCAGGAATTCAAGACCAGCTTGGCCAACATGGTAAAATTCCGTCTCTACAAAAATACAAAAAAATTAGCCGGGCATGATGGCGAGTGCCTGCAACCCCAGCTACTCGGGAGGCTGAGGTGGGTGAATTGCTTGAACCTGGGAGGTGGAGGTTGCAGTGAGCCGAGATTGCGCCATTGCACTGCAGCCTGGACTACAGAGTGAGACTACATCTCCAAAAAAACCAAAAACCAAAAAACAAAAAAAAAACCACAATAAGAATATGAAAAAATCTTTTCTTCCTAAGATTTTCTAGGCAACTAGGAAAGAAAGGGGTAAAACAGTCTGAATGGTAAATTCAGACTAGCCACATGAGATCAGCTTTCCACATTTGTGAAATATAATCATCATCTCTACTGAATGTTACTGAAAATGAAAACAGGGTAAAATATAATTGCAGAATACTGCTTTAGAAAAACTTTCACAGAATCATATTTAGGTATTTTTCCCATTCACTTCATATAATCTGGATTCATTCATGCCATAGTGTTTATTTATACTTTAAAGTAACAAGTCCACTTGTACACATTGGTTTCACAGCATCAATAAATTTGTACACTTTGAGATTTGTTTCTGGGTTATAATTCTTCCTCTGGTTCTCGTGACCGTTTGCGAGTGCTCAAGGAACCTTCTGTTTGCAATGAACATGCAGAAGTAACAACAGTATCTCTAAATCCCTGAGGCTGAAAGATAAAAAATAACATATACAAATATGATTTAAGAACATTTGAAGACTGATCTTAGAAATATTTTTAAGTAATTAATAAGAAAGCTACTTTATTCTAGGGCCAGGTGCGGTGGCTCACACCTGTAATCCCAGCACTTTGGGAGGCCGAGGTAGGTGGATCACAAGGTCAGGAGTTCAAGACCAGCCTGGCCAACATGGTGACCCCCATCTCTACCAAAAATATGAAAATTAGCTGGGCGTGGTGGCGCACACCTCTAGTCTCAGCTACTCTGGAGACTGAGGTAGGAGAATTGCTTGAACCTGGGAGGCGGAAGTTGCAGTGAGCCGAGATTGTGCCACTGCACTCTAGCCTGGGCGAAAGAGCGAGACTTCGTCTCCAAAAAAAAAAAGAAAGTTCCTGAGATAGAAATTTATCAACCACTGTGAATGAAGAGGATAAATCTCATGGATAGGTGCCTAAGCCCGGGTTATATTAAGAGTATTTTATATATACTTATTTATACACTTGCATACACACACACAGAAATAACATTGCATTATAAAAATGTTCTATAAAGGACAATCCTAACAAACTTTATGATAGCTTTGTTAGAAGAAGTAAAAGGAAATAACCTAAGTCTTAGGTACTTTACAGATTTATTTTCATAATTAAATACTCTAAAGTTTTCCAACTAGGATATTTCTCTCTTTTTTTTTTTTTTCCAACTAGGCTATTTCAAAGACACCTGGGCAGTGCAAAACTAAGTGGATAATTCCGTTTCAGAATCTCTATTTCTGTTTATGTCCTTATAAAAATGAGATAAAGCCTGGTCCAGTGGCTCACGCCTGTAATCCTAGAACTTTGGAAGACTGAGGAGGGCGAATCACTTGAGGTCAGGAGTTTGAGACTAGTCTGGCCAACATCGCGAAACTCCATCTCTGCTAAAAACACAAAAATTAGCCAGGCGTGGTAGCATACGCCTATAATCCCAGCTACTAGGGAGGCTGAGGCAGGAGAACTGCTTAAATCAGAGGTTGCAGTGAGCCAAGATTGCGCCACTGCACTCCAGCCTGTGCAACACAGAGAGACTCCATCTCAAAAACAAAAAGAGATGCCAAAAATACATTTGGCTCAACACTATTGATAAATATGTATATTTCAGCCAAAAAATGTGTGTTCTATGATGTAAATTCACAGAAAAATTAACATCTTAAAGTGGGCTATATTTGGTGGCTACAATAGATCTATAATACCTACAGACCAAAATAAATAATGTTAGTATTTTTTCTTTTCTGGAAATCTTCAACAACTTTCACTTTAAAGATGTTTAATATCCTGACATTACATATGGCATGGAACACACTACCCCAAAATAAGTATTTCCTCTGTTCTTAAGAATAAATTTCAGTCCATTTGTGACTACAATATTCTGTATACACTACTATTTTGGGGACAATGTTCTAAGCATCAAAAGCTGTCCTCAAATATGCTTGCTGCCTACAGAAGTTAACAGAAGCAAGTTGTAAATTCTCTCTTTAGATAATTACTGCCCATCAATATCAAAATCCCACTCTAATCAAATAACACTGACTTTGATTTGAAACAGTACTGTGGATTCCTTCTGGCTGGGTGACTTGTACAATGTTGCCAACCTGCTTAAAAAAAAAGAATAAATACATACAAACACATGAACTTAATTAATTAAAAGTTCAGATGACCAAACTCATAATTTAAATGTTTAGGTTTATTATATTAATAATTCTATTATTTTTTCTCTAAGAACACAAAAACGAGAGAAATATTAAATATACACCCTTCAAATACCCGTATGTATATAAGAGTTATAAGAAATTTTAAAGCAACGTAAAAGTCCAATGACTGATTCAAATAAATTATTTTATATATGATGAGATATTACTTATGCTAAAAACTAAAGGTGGGAGAAAATATTCAAAGAGATAGGAAAGTATTAATAATATACTAAATAACAGTTATACCATATAATCCCATATTTGTAAGTATGTATACACACATCTAAAAAAATTGATAGAAGACTACAATCAAAAAGTTAATAGTTGTTATCACGAAGTAAAGGTTGCTTGCTTATATTTTCCAAACTGTCTGCAGTAATCATGTTTTTTTCATTATTGCTGAAGAATGATGTTAATTTCTTATACTACAAATGAGAAACACTTACTCATATTACACCAATAAAAATAGCTAGGAAGACATTGTTTTAAAATGATGCAGCCAGGCATGGTGGCTCATGTCTGTAGTCCCACCTCTTTAGGAGGGCAAGGCAGGAGGATCACTTGAGACCAGGAGTTTGAAGCCATCCTGGGCAACATAGTGAGACCCTCATCTCTGTAATAATATATAAAATGATTAAGTCCCAAAAATAAGTCATGACAGAACAAGATCTGCTTAGGTGGGATTTTACTATATATATATATTTTATTTATTTATTTATTTATTTATTTATTTTGAGACGGAGTCTCGCTCTGTCACCCAGGCTGGAGTGCAGCGGCGCAATCTCGGCTCACTGCAAGCTCCGCCTCCCAGGTTCACGCCATTCTCCTGCCTCAGCCTCCCGAGTAGCTGGGACTACAGGCGCCTGCCACCATGCCCGGCTAATTTTTTGTATTTTTAATAGAGACGGGGTTTCACCGTGTTAGCCAAGATGGTCTCGATCTCCTGACCTCATGATCCGCCCACCTCAGCCTCCCAAAGTGCTGGGATTACAGGCGTGAGCCAACGCGCTCGGCCGATTTTACTATGTTTTATACAAAGTAATATAAAACTGAAAGCTAAAAGTAGCTGAGAAATAAAATTCTAAGCTCTTATTAACTATATTCAAGTACTGTAACAGCAACAAATATAAACAAAGACCTTTAAAACTGCTTTTTGGCTGGGCGCGGTGGCTCACGCCTGTAATCCTGGCACTTTGGGAGGCCAAGGCAGGCAGATCACCTGAGGTCAGGAGTTCGACACCAGCCTGACCAACATGGAGAAACCCTGTCTCTACTGAAAATACAAAATTAGCAGGGCGTGGTGGCACATGCCTGTAATCCCAGCTACTCGGGAGGCTGCGGCAGGAGAAATCGCTTGAACCTGAGAGGCAGAGGTTGTGGTGAGCCGAGATTGCACCATTGCACTCCAGCCTGCGGAAAAAGAGTGAAACTCCATCTCAAAAAACAAAAAACAAACAAACAAAAAAACCCACAAAAAACTGCTTTTAAGAATTACTTTAAAACTGATACACTGTAACTTATTCACAATAGCCAGAGGTAGAAGCACCCAAGTGTGCATCCACAGATGAATAAACAAAATGTGGTATGTACATACAATAGAATATTCAGACTTAAGGAAGAAAATTCTGACACATGCTACAACATAAATGAGCCTTGAAGACATTATACTAAGTGAAATAAGCGAGTCACACCAGAACAAATATTATATGATTCCAATTATATGGGGTAGATAGAGGAGTCAAATTCAGAGACAGAAGGTAGAATGGTTCGTGATTGTCAGGGCCTGGGGGTAAAAAAGAACTAGAGTTAACATTTAATGGATACAGAGTTTCAGTATGGGAAGATGAAAAAGTTCTGAAAATGGATGATGATGGTTGCACAATATGAATGTACTTAATGCCAGTGAACTGTATGTAAACATAAAGTGGTAAATTTTATATTATACATATATATATATATATATGTTGGTACAGTGAGTGAGTCGCACACTGCCCTCTAGCCTTGGGCACAGAGTAAGACCCGGTCTCA